CTGTGGTAATGTCTTCTAGATCTTGATATTGTAATTTTAAAAATGTAGAATTGATATTTGTGTAATAGTAAGAAAAGGTCTAAAGGAGCAAGGAAAGTGGGAGGGGTAGGGGAAAGGAAAGATGGGAAAAGAAAAAATATGAGAAAAGAAAAAAATGGAAAAAAAGTCTTTGCAAATAGGGAAGGGTTGAGGGGGTGAAGGGAAGGCAGGGGAAAGGGAAAAAAAATAAGAACCAAGATACTCGTATAATGGTACAAGATCCTAATGATGAATGTAACTGTTTTTTATACCTAAAATGTACCAATACACTTAATGGGGAAAAAATGTTTCTCCATCTGATTAGAAATGAGGACTTTCCACTCTCACAACTTCAGCACTGGTCTGAAGGTGCTAGCCAGAGTGATAAGGCAAGAAAAAGAAATAAATGACATAAAGGTGGAAAGGAAGAAGCAAAATTGTCTGTTTTGCAAATTGCCAGGAGCAATGCTGCATAATTTTAGGGTAAAATCATTTGGTTAGCCTAGTTCTCCTGCCTACAGCTCAGCTATGGAATTCTGAGACATAACTCCATTTTGGCCTCTGGTCACAACTGAGACCTCAATGATCCAATGATGCTGGGATTCTCCAGGACAAGAAACATCCTGGGAGCTGAACACATCCTGGGAGAACAAACATCTACTCAGTTCCTCATTGTTCTTGGACTGTTACATCTTGTTTACCCAGGATGTACTGAACTCTCTGCAAGTCATTTGTTACATTTGTTTCTCCCAATGTACTGAGTACTGAATAAAAGGTGCGGTAAGCTGGGGGCTTTGTCTTTGCTGCCCAGAGCAGCACTGATCAGACCCAAAGCTCAGCTTCTTCTCAGTCTCATTTTTCTACCTTTCCTGTAATTCGCCTTGTGCTGCCATGGCTCCCAGGAGACTAGGACTTACTGCAGAGGTTCTAATAATATCCCCTTTCCCTGTTCCCTACAGCAAATGATGTGATTATTTATATAGACAATCAAAAGAAATCTACAAAATAGCTATTGTACCTGATAAATTTAAAAAGATTACAGAACATAGTATGGAGTTAGAAACTAAAATAAACAAACAAACAAAACTACAACAATCTCCCTCAGTAATACACCACTAAATAATCCATATTGCAAACATGACATCCATATGAATTTGAAATTCTAAAAAGGGCAAAAATAATGCTAAGTGAAGGGTGCACATACAGAATATGACAGCATCTCTGGGGTGAATATGGCATAGCAAAAGGCTGGCTCTGCCATTGAAACCCAAGAAGCTCTGTCACCTTCAAAGCCTCAAAGGAGGAGAAAATTTGATAAGGCAAAGATATTTGTAAAAGAAATAAAGAAGAGACAGAGTGAAAACTCCTAGGATACTAAGATACATGGCAGTGTACATATATCATCCTTTTTACATTAAAAATAGAAACATAATTTCAATGCAAAATTTAA